CTGTGGACCGATACCCTTTTGAATTCCTTTTAATCCCCACTTCTGATCTTTTTGATCACCGGATTTGATCACCAGTTAACATTAATTTTTATAAAATTTTAAATTTTCCCTTTCTTGTTCCAAGTTTTGTTCGAATATCGTTTTCTTTCTTTTTACTGGTTTCTTGGCAATTCTTCCAGTTTATCGAAAAGAATTGCCATTGTTAGCTAGGAGGTGCCACCATTTGGTAAGTTTTTATAATATTTTCATAATCCCGAGAACACAAATTATAATTTTTAATAATAAAATAAATTTTGAAATATGTATAGTTTTTAATAATAAAAATAAAATTTTTAATATTTGTATTTATTGATTTGTATTTTATTGATTCGTATTTATTGATGTTTATAAAAATAAAAATCCAATTATTATAATTATTGGTCGCGAGCAAAATAAATTTGAATGATCGATTCGTAGTAATATATAAAAAAAATTTTTTTTGAAAACGATTATTATTATAATCATGTATTTTTCCGCAAAAATATCCGCAATTTTGCGCATCATGAGAATGTCCAATTTTTATTTGTGGGTTGGGTGCATGTTATCCTTATTTAGAAATCGATTTTGCGATTGCGGATATTTTTTGTGAATAACTAACGATTTCCGTATAATATTGGTTAATAATAATAAGACATGTACCCATTTTCATTTTAAAATTTAAATTTTATAGAAAGGTTAAAATTATAATAAAAATTATGAATTAGTAACACTTTGTGGGGTCTCCGTGATTATTAAATTTATTAAATTATTTATCATTTTTAAATTCGATTCAAAGAAAATTTTGGTTGCCCCAAGAATTTATTTTTGTACCAAGTAAACAGCATCTAATTTTTTCACTAATTATGATGTTATAGTTTAATATTATGTAAAAAAATTTTTTTTGATCAAAAGTCTCGAAACTCGATTTTCCTAGAGCGTCCCCACTTATTGATATAAATTTCCAATTATTATCCCTTAAACAGTTAATCGGCCATTGACAGCCGATAAAATTTTCTGATATAAAAATTTTTTTCTATGAATAAAAATCCAGTCGTTGTCCTTGTGGTTTCTGTAAAATCTTCTTTAAAAGTTGGTCGATTGACTGTTATTACTTTGCTGATCGTTAAAATTGAAAACTTTAATTTGTGTTACCATTAAAGAATACTCTGACCGTTTAAGAGATAGTTATTACTGTTGTTATTGTTATTAGGCGGGAAAGCGAAATAATTGATCGCAATAAAATAAATTGAGTGAATAAGCTTTACCAGTGAATGATTTTTAGGTTTTATTTAATATAGTTATTTTCTTTCGTTCAAGAAAAAGGTATCTTTAAAATACACGAGATTCAAATTGTTTATTATTATATTAATATACATTCGGATTAATTAATTATAAACTAATTTTGTAGACTTGGACACTTTTTGTAGGGTAAAACGATTTTGAGACAACTTTATCAACTAAAGATAACTCTTGTGTTCAAGATAATTTTATCGATTAAAGACAACGGATCCAGTGGCTATCGTCTTTTTTCGATATTGACCTAGTGCTAACCAGATATTTAACAACTAATGTTAATAAATACATGATAAAATGAATAATAAATATATAAAAAACGTTATTAATATAATAATTACAACGGACAACGAATTTTTGGTAGTGGTGGTGGTGGAATTAAATAATAATAATATTGCCATTACTACAAGAAAGAAATATAAAAAACCCCTTCTTAAATCGTCTAAAGATTGTAAAATAATAAAGCTCTTTGTGAGGAGTTTTCTTAATTGCAATACTAAAAATAATATCATAACCTTGAGTAGTAAATAGATAAGGTTTCTATTCGAATAAAACGAATAATTTGAGTAAAAAATAATTTTCAAGTAATTCAAATAATTTGAGCGAATAAACAAATAAAACAAATAAAACAAATAAAACAAATAAAGCGAATAATAATAAAACAAAATTCAATTAATATTAATGCGTCATTAGATATCGATCGTTTTACGTGATTGTGACAAATCATTCAAACCAATCCACAAATTGGGCCTTTTTCATATATTATACGCCTCCACTACTGTTTAATTAATTTAATATTTAAATGCATCTATAAATCTCCAAATTCTAAGAGTATATTTGTTGTCACCTTCAAGAAAAAAAAAAAGAAAAAGAATTTAATATCATTGATGTAAAAAAATTATAAACTCGCTTGATTATTTTGTCAGAGTACGTACATAACATTCATTATTTGATGATGGTATATATTAATTAGAATCAATAAATTAAAATTTTGGTGTTTTTGTTTCATCTATGGGGAATTTGTGTTTCACATCAAAAACAAGATCAATTTCCAAAAAAAACACTTAATGGTACTTTTCTGCTTTTGGTTTATATTATTAATAACTAAATAATTGCACAAATATATTTTTTTGTAACTCCTTTATTTCTCTTATATAGATAATCATTATTTTTGCAAATTTGCAAATTTAAAATCCAAAAAAATGTCAAACAATAATGATAATGATGAATTTGAAAGAGTCTTTGTTTATGACGAACATAAATGGTATAATCGACTTAAAGGGAAAACTTACTATAGAGTATTTGGAAATTGGGAATGTAATGATTGTGGAAATTTATGGCCTTCTGCATATACGTGGATTTCTTTCAAGAAGTTTTTAGAAGGTGTTGATGCTAACCTATTGGTGAATTCAAAATTGCGAATGTATCAAAGATGTTCAGGGTGTCTAAGTGATCATAGTGCGAGGCTTTTAAACTATTATCAATTAGGAGAGAGAGGTTCTGGACCACGAGGAATGCGTGGAATTTCTGGAGGTCATAGAAGAGATTTATGTGAGAAGTGCTGCACAACCCAGGAATATTGTGTATAATTTAATATATATATTTGTTCATTCATTAAAAATACTGTTTTTTAAACTTTTGGTTTTAGTTTATAATTTATTTATAATTTTTATTGAACTGTGCAAATTAATGTTTTAATTTTTTATGACAATGGCTAATTATTTATTTTTGTATCAAACTACACATTCATTCTTCAACAGTCGCTTAATAATTTAGGATGTTGAATGAAATAAATTATATATATATATATATATATGATGAATCTATTCTCCGAAAGAGAAAGCATCATTGGTAAAAACAGGATTGTTCTACTTAGCATAAGTTGTAATCTATAATTTGTCAAACCAAATTACTAAACGGTATCCTATTTTTAATTGAGCGGTTAAAGCCGTCTTGAAGCGTGTCTGTTTGTTTTTACAATACAGTCGCGCTTTCTGCATGCTATGATATAGCGAGCTGACGTTCACGTCATTTTTAATTTAGGAATTATTACAATTAAAAATTGGTAATTTCATTTTGTGGATGTGTCGCAGAACCAGCCAAATGGGAATTGGTAAAATTCAACATATTAAAAAACTATTTTTTCCATTTTTAAACTAGATTAATATATTAACTTCACCATTTGCATGATTTATATAATACTTTGAACTAAAGAGTATGTATCATATTACCATTATTAATTGAACCATTTAATTGTTGTCAAATTTACCAAATTGGTTTATATAATTAATTATTAGTGTTGAATCAAATATATTATTTCATAATTAATTGCTATAATATTTTAATAACAAGAACAAAATTTACGCATTGCCTCAATCTCATTGATACTTAGTCTTGTTCTATAATCACCATGTATACATTTTAAAATCGAAAATTTCGTTCACAAACTGCCAATTCTTGCAATTATAATAGAACATTGCCTTCATCCACATTGATACTTAGTACATGGCCTTTAAACCTTTACCTTAAAATACAATACAAAAGATGAAATAATTATTTGTTAAATTTAAAATCACCCACTCCTATTTCCATTGATGGTGACAGCAAGCTTAATTAGGCCAACAAAACAATCAGATGTATTAATAGACCTCTCTTCCAAATTATTTTGTCAATTCTTTAACAGGTTTGAAATTTCACTATTTCCAAAACAATTAAATACATCACTATCAAAGGATGACCATTTTCACGAATCTATCAAATAACTAAATGTTAAAATCCCTTCTCAATCAAAAACCGGATTTGATCTTTTCAAATCCACTGTTGTACAAAATAAACCCTCTATTACCATTGCTATTTAATTTCTTGTTTACGACAAAAACTGTGATTTGTGAATCAAGGCTTTCAAGTTCTATAAATAATATCACAAAGAAATTCATGCGATGGAAATTTGTTAAGCGCCACAATAATATTACTATAATGCGATTTTATTTCAAAAATCAATTTCAACAAGGTTTTAGTTTCTACCTTTCTAGCGAGTTATCACTTACTTTGTTGATAGGATATTTTTTTTTTTGATATGAAATTCTTTCAATTGTTCTTCAAATTCGTAGTCACTATTGAATACCAAGTCTGCATAATTTTTAGCAAATTTTCTTTCACTAGTTGACCATTGATCAATATTTCCGAGATATCGGGTTTTCTTTGTTTTCTATGTTAATATTTACATAGTAAACAAAGAAAACCCGATATCTCCATGAGAATGTGACATATCAACAAAATAAAACCATACCTTTGTAGAGAAAGGTCTTGGCACTGTATTATGTGAATTAAATCATATATTTTCGCGATTAAGTAAAAATTTTTTCTCGATATATTTTTAAAATTGTCAGGGGACCCTTTATTTGAGAAAATCATTCTAACGGGAATAGATTCGTACGTTTATGCTGATAGCTTTCTTCCCAATAATGCAAATAATAATTCATTATCTTTGATTTATTGTAGTGACTATTTATTATTTTACTTTATCTCTTCACCACACAGTGGTCTAAATACTTTTTTTTTAATAATTAACTCATCTAATATTTATCTAAAATATTATCTTCACCGTCAAACCATTATTATTAATTGTCGAGTAGAAATGTTCATCGTGTAACAGGCGATAATTTTAGGGATGGTAATAATCGGCGCTCAATATAGTAATAGTAATAGTAATATTAATATTAATATTAATATATATATAGTACAGTAGTAATAACAAAATTTTGTCAAAATGAAATTACTATTACTAATTGAAGTTATCAATTTTTAAAATCCGTAACGAAGTCTGTTGAACAAGGGTTATACTAATACTGTATGTCACTATTCAATTTAACATTAATCATCAATAAAAAATTTTATTTTATTTTATTTTATTTTATTTTTTTAATTTTTAATATGCGTAAACGAGTTTGGAAGAAAAAAACTTGAATGTGATTAAAGTATTTTTTTTACATACATTTGGTAAGTGTTAGCTAGTTATTATTATTATTCTGACTTCTTACATTAATTAACATAATATATTTATCTATAAAGGATCGTATGGAGCTATGGTCAATGATGATGGTTTCAGTTGGAATTTCTTATTTGAACGTATAACGAAAGTCACCGTTCCAGTATTATTTAATGATCGTGATAAATTTAGGTTTGTTGTGGACATTCAAAGTAAGTCTATAAATTATTTCACAAATGCTTGTGATGATTGAAATAAAATATTATACTGATGCATTGCATAATACAAATTAGTATGTATCAATTCTTTATCTCAGATTAAACCACAAGAAACTGCTGGAAAAATCGAGCAACTTCGGTTAGACCATAGTTACAATAAGTTCAATCCATCATCTAAGGATCTGACAGATTTAATACCATTCAAACTGCATATACCACAAAAGACAAAGACAAAAAAGGTGTAGAGCCATAAGACCGACTAGCTTGCCACATGGCACTAAAAGTCCATTTATAATTGGTCCATATAGAACAAACATTTTATTTTAAAAATCGAATCCCTATTTTCATATTTATATACATGCTTCAGAAGCAATTAAAAGGTAAATATTGTTATTATTTATCATTTTAAAAAGGTGATTATTTTAGTCGTTATTAAAAAAAAATAGCAGTGGGGATTATTGGTCTGTTCAATTGAAACCTCAATCTTTTTTTTATTTGCCTTTTAGACCTGATGATAATGTAGTTGCAGCTGCATCTACATCAACTGAAGAAACCGGGACCAAGTTTAATCATGACAAATCCTTAAAATTTTTCAAAGAAAATAAGGATTGGAGTCTCTCCAAATATATAGATCATATGGAATCTCAATTAAATGATGTAGAGAAGCCAATATGTTAAACCATATGATGAAATTTTGTAATGATGCAGAGAAAAAAAATGCTAAAAATTACTCAAATATATTTGAAGTCATTTGTTTTTAAAAGATCGTTTTAATAAAATATTAATATTATTTTGAATGAGATTTAAGAATTTAAGAGCGCTAATAATTATTATTATCCCTTAAACAGCTGTTGATAGCCGAAATTTTTTTTCTGTTATAAAAAACTTTTTTTGAAGGTATTATTTTCTAATACGAAAATGATCTTTGAGATTCAGTTGATTGATCTGTGAATAAAAATTCGGTTGTTGTCCTTGTGGTTTTCGTAAAATCTTCCTTAAAAGTTGGTCGATTGACTATTTTTACTTTGCAGATCGTTAAATTGGCCAATAAGAATGCAAGATCGTAATCAAAAATTATTTTGTTTTACTACTAAAGAATACTTTAACCGTTTATGAATTCCAACAGTGACAAACAATATACATGCAGCCTAAATGAGTTTGATGATTTCAATGATCAAAATTTTGATGGTAAAAGTAGAAATTAATTACAGCACTCACTATTAAAAACATAAGTGTAACACCCTTTACAACATGTGTAACCCCTTTATGAAAATGTAATAAAGATCAAATTTCTTCATTGTAATATATATCTTATATTATTAATAAAACGTGCTTAATGTAATGGATTATATATATCTACAATACAGTGCCAGCAAAAATTAGTTTATGAAAAGGATTTAAAAAAGTATCCAACCACTCTGTAATATAAAGTTGAAATAATGCAAATTTAAAGGCATTATGTTTTGTTGTCTATATTTGGTCAATTTTTCTCAAATTTAATCATATATAATTCAAGATATTTTAAGTAACTTACTCAATTACATGATTCATGATTAAATGAAGCTTTACTAAAAAATTTCATAAAAATAACAGAATTTTTTGTCTAATTTAAAATTTTCATCCTAAATTCATTAATAATGCAAAATCAACAAGACTTTAAGTTTATATGCAAAAAAACATGTTTACTTGATGCATCAGTCCCAGTTTGGTTAATAAAATTTTGAATTGCATAAGGTGTATATAACATTTCCAATTATTAAAATGATCATCATGTGGTTGTACATTTATGGTAGGTAAGTGTATATTATTGATCACAATGACACAAATAAGTTATTGAGTCATGTGATTTTACAATACTTAGCATCAAGAATATCATTGCTATTTTAGGATTTGATAATTTGTTGTGCTCCATATTGTAATCCCAATACTTGATTTATAGTAATATTTGATTTACACAGCTGTAGCCAAGTGCTCCATTCTCAATTGCAATTGCTTGTCTGGTTTGTGGTGGTATTAATAGCTCTTGGTCTATTAATCTGTGTGGGTGGCGAATTTTACTTCCCCTTCTGGTACTTGTCTGGTATGAGGTATTAATAGCTCTTTGTCTATTAATCAGTGTGGGGGCGATTTTTACTTCTCCTTCCAGTAGCGTTTTCTCAGCAGTTCTTTGTTATCTACCTGAGCTGGCACGTCTCCAAGATATTTATAATAATCCACATTGGTTCTTTAGGCTTTCTTATTAATCAGCCACGATTCACTGGGCTTGTTTTGTTGTATTTTAGGTTCAGTGTCTGGACTGACCGCACCCAGCTAGGGTTCCTAGAATTTGGCCTAAGCTAAATAAAATAAAGTAAAAGGAAATAGATATATACAACTATACTTATCAAAGGCGTCCCCTGGTAAGATAGTAAAATAATAATAAAATGCGAGAATATGGTCAATGCACGGGATTAGTATGAATTCATTGTTAGAGATAGATTTATTATCATTACGAAAATATAATATTCGAAGACAACAAGGACAAGGTCAGTGTTATTTATTATGATGATGATGATTAAAGATTATTAAAGATTATTATATATAAATGATGCATGAAGTTGAGAAAATTACAACGTCTTTATACATGTTAAAGGTTCTATCATCTAGTTCTTCCGATTTCTTTGAAATCCTAATTTATTCTAATTAAATGTATTACTTGAACCTTTTGTGTAGAATTATTTTCAAGTTATTTCTAAAGTGATCCAATCATTTAAATTCCTTCGTTTAAATTAAATCTAAGAATTAAAGATTTGTTACATTTAGAATGTTAGAATATTTATTTCTCCGTTCTTTGGGATATTTTCCGTGAGTCAATTATTTTATTGGTGATTGAATAAAAATATGAAATAGGACTGGTTTGAATACTTGATCAGTTATTTGCGTACAACTTTCGTAAATCATTTCCGATTTATTTATTGATTTCCCGTGATATGTAAATTTATTATTTACAATATTAATATGGTAAAATCCAGATTAGTTTGATGAGGTGACAAACTTTCCGTTTATTAAAGTCAGTGTTGATGATCACCAGTCATCTTCCTTCGTATTGGTATATATATGTAGTTTAACTGCACCAATTATGGGAAAATTGTATCAAAAATATCAATCATGTAATTATTTTAGTTAATCATCCTTGTTTCATTATGAATGAGCTAACGAGATCAAAATAACATTAATCAATTAGAATTTAATAATAATATTTAAAAATTGTAAAACCTTGAAACGTTTGGAAGTCATCTAACTTATGTATACATCACTTGTGAATTAATGAACTATGAATTCATTTTTTTTAGATTTTTGATGAAATCTATAGCAATTATGCGATAGCACTTGCCAATAGACCAAGTTAATCGGGTAACCCAGATTTTGATAAGATCAAATTATTATCGAATTAAATCTGAGATTAAGTTAATTCGTAACGCGATATAATATATATATATATATATATTTTAATTACACAAAACATGCATATTAACAACCAATAAAATTTGTGTATAAATATTCGTGCTTCAATTTTTTTAATCACGAACGAAAAGAATCATTTTTTGATTGATACAAAAAAATATCTTGCTCAAATAAATTTTTATTAATTGCTCAAAATGCATGTACTTTTTTTTTAAAAAAAACTTTAATAAAATCTTTAAATGTGTTATTTAACTGAATTGGGCATGGCCAAATGATTGATCTTTATAAAGACAAAGTTGTATACAATGATATGCAAAACATCGGGCCTTCCAAAACCTACAGTTATTTGAACCGTGCAAATTTCAAAAGAGAGGTTGTGTTAAATTTGGAAGCTGAGAGGCCAAAAATTTTGATCATTGTAAAAGTAACCAGCTGATTAATGAATGCTACAACTGATTTTCAGATTTCCATTAAGATTATTAGAAGAAGCTTGTATTATCTTGATAATTCTTCGTGCAGGGGAGTGTATTAATGAAATTCAGTGACAAAATCATTTAAATTATTCTTGGATAAAAAGGATTGGAGCATTCAAAAACGAAAACATCATTTGGAGCGATGAGATAGATTTACAATACTTCAAAATGATGCACCAGATCACGCCCACTGTAAGCATGGCAAAGGTGGCATGATGTTTGAGGTAAAGTCTATGGTAAGTTGATTGAAATGGCTATATTCAAATGCTCCAGTCAAATGTAATGCCATAAATTTAAAGAACGAGACTATTTGTCCCAAGATGACAATACACCTCTTCACTGTGCTAAAGATGCAAAATTGAAATATTAAAAAATGGATGACAGTTGAGTAAGTTAAGTTAGAGACACAATCAAGAACTCCCTAATCCTTCAAAAAACTTGATCTTGCTTTAACAGATGGATGGATGAAAATCCCAATGATTTCATTAATTGTACTGGAAAAAAATAAAGTTTAACAATAATTAAACTTTGTTAAAATGTACAATTTTATCAAAGTCTGACATTTATTAACTAAAATTGTACATCTTAACTGTATGTTTAACCCAAGTCAAATTTGATTGTTTTACCAGTGTTAGTTGAAAGCATACCTTGAAGAGTTCAGGTTTGTGTTTATAGCCTACTAGTTATTGACCATGAATATGTGATAATAAGTGGTTTAGGTAGCAGCAATTAAAATTTCTAGCAATGTGATTATCTGAGCTTTTGAGCAATTAATAAAACTTGACCAAGAAAAATTTCTTCATGATCTTCAATCGAAGAATTTAAACAGTGCTGGTGTCATTTGATGTGTATATGTGTGTGTAGATGGGCTCAGTTGATGTAGGGTAGAATTATTTTATATATTGAAATCTGTTGTGTTGTGTGTGTGTCTCATCAGCAAATTTTTTAGAATGATTATATAATCTAATAATTGCACATGACACAAAGGTGTACACCAAATGCATGGGGTAATCCTTGAGATGTGAGATTTTGCATATTTATTTACATAATGGTTGGTTGGTTGTTATTATGTACATTTTGGTGCGATTAACAAGAACATTGATCTGATCCTTTTCTTCAAGTAGTGTATAATGTAGCTTGACATGCGCATAGAAAAGGGTTTACTAACACCAGTTTTTTCTCTTAATTAGCAAGCAACCTTTTTTACTTGAATTGTCCCACATTGCATTTTTCAATTTTCAAGCCTTCTTCTACTCTAATATAAAATATTTTATATTAATCAGGGCTGAGTGTGTAAACCTAGTGAGACACCTCACCAAACTAACATCCATATTAATATTAATATGTTGTCAGTTTAGTCAAGGCTAAATTAGGGTTTATCCTTTATGCCAGCAGCCCTGATATTATTAATCTTGGGAGATGATATGCAATGGCGATCATCACCATTGTCACCCAAGATTTATCAACTGAACATAAATTTCTTATCATAGATTAATTTAGTAGAGCAAATTCCCTGTACTACGTAAACTAAAAACAATCAGCTTTCTTTCACAAAAAAACACCTTTATTATTCCCTCTTGTTTCTTTTGTGTTGCCCCAAAATAAAAATTTTTCCTAAATAAATAAATACATAAACAAAATGGTTGCTATGGCAATAAAACAAATAGTAGCAAAAAATATGGTTTCTGAGACCTTTCGTGAAATCTTTACTGGTAATTATATGATAAATATCATACATCCCATTAATCAATCATAATATTTTTGAATTGATAAATCATTGACCACACTTAAAGGGCCGACCTCTTTATACCATTGGCTTAACAAAAAAAGATCTGTAAGTTTTTATAAAATTAATAACATTAATATACAGACCATACACATTTAAATGAGCCCAACTAAATAAGTGGCTCAAATGAAAATTTATTATAAATATCTGTTTGTAATTTTATTTATTTTTTTAATAATGATAAAATAATTAACATTTTCTTCCATGATTAAATTAAATCAAAGAGACGTATCCTTCAAAGGAATTTATCATATGTAAGAAAGCCAAAAAGCAAGTCAACTAAAGAAAAAGAAACCAAGAAAAAATTCAGCTGGGATGATTTGTTTCAACGTCGCATAAAAGAGGAAGCCTTAAAAGAGGAATCCTCAAAAGCAGAATCCTTATTAGCTACCAGGTTTTTTATTATTTATCCATTTTGTTTATTAATTTAATGATAATTAATCAATTAAAAAATTTTTTTTAAAAAAGTCAAACACAACAGTCAGACCCTATTATTGTAAAAAGTAAGGAGGCCCCCCAATAAGTCAACATCAACAATTTACATCTTCCATGCTAGTGGTACTGAATTATCTCAAAAAGTCATGGGATTTAGATGTGCATGGTGTGTTACTTTAGCATTTAGAGACATTGATTGTTTAATGATTCATTTAGAAAATTTTCATCAACATTTTAAGTATATAATAAAAGTAAGTGAATAAAAAAATTTTGTAAAATTAAATAATTTTTAAATAAATAATTCATTCTTTTTTTCCTAGCAAAGAAAACAAACAACCAGCTGTGAAATTGCTGTACATGTAAATGATGAACATTCTAATCATGAATTTTTTGAGTTTAAAGCTGATGGAGCTCGCTTTCCAAAATCATTTGCTATTCCAGAAAAGAGTATTTTGCCACCACTGTTGTCTTCAAAAAAATTTACATCAGGAACCTTTGTAAACTCTCATTCATTTATTCCATTCACTGCAAATTCTAATATAATTGCTGAAAATAATATTTGTGAACATTGGATTCAACAACAAAATGATGAGGTTTGAAAAAAAATTAATCATTATATTTGAAAAAATCAATTAAAATTTGTTCCCATAAAAATAAAAATGAAAATAATCATTTTATATTTTTTAGGAAATAGATGGAACAAAAGGTACTGTGGATGGTGCTAAACTTTTAATGAAATTGTGGAACAGATGCATGGAACAAGAAAGGTAAAATATTGTATATTAACATATCTTGCTTTGACTGAAATCTTTTTATCTATTAAAAAAAAAAGAATTTTAAATTTCAAATATGTAGATCTCTTTCTGATTCTAGTTTCCCAGACTTTTGTACAAAATTTGCATCTAAACATGCAGAACAAATTGTAAAACTTGAACTAAGACAAATTTTTGTAAGACAACTGCTTAATTTCTGTGATGATGAAATTATTGAAAAAGATTGCTTAGTTAATTGTTTAAAGATTGTTGATGATTATGTTGTAGAAAATTAGTCAAGGCTTTTTATGCTAACATCGCTATTTAGATTTTGATAAGAATAAAAATAGAATAGGTTAAATTCATAAATGCATTATGAAATTTTTTTTTGAAATGGATGATAATAATTTTATTTTATTCTTGAACACTCATGATTTTTAGGCCAACCAAAATCAAATTTTATGTGATATCTTGATGACAATTTTTAACTAAACAAATGTGATCAACAAGAATGTCCACTTGCTAAAAAAATTCTAAAGCTATTTATATGTTTTAAAGATCTACTCATCTAGTTCTCTGATAAGGAATTCCTTTGTACTATTTTGGTTAATGATCAAGAAAATTTAATTAGAGGGATGATTTATATAGCAAAGTTGGTATTTATAATTTTTGGAATTTTATATTCCTTGCAATACATCCCCGTGACTTATGCCGATCTACACTTAAAAAAGCGTGTTAATATTAATTAAATATTAAAAGAATCTCGAATGGCTTGGGACTAACCTCAAACAAAAAAAAATTCGGATTGTTCTCCTTTTGTCTTTAGAGTTATAATTTTTGATAAATTATCATTTACGAAAATCCATTAAACATTCTACTGTAGTGATCTGAAGAATAACCATTACAAGAATTTTAATTATATTTGTTTTTGCAAATCAAAATACGATTTTTATTGGTATTTCATTATCATCAGGGCTGGCTACTTAACCCTAAATAAGCATTTGGCTATACTGACTAACTATTTAGTAATTATGTTATGACAATTATTACCAAATTAGGATTTTAGACCCTCTTGCACAACCAGCCCTGATTATCACCCAAGTGCAAAATCCAAGTGCATGAGTTTCAACTCCAAGTAGCTTGGGTGTAAACCTGAGTATTCACTTGAGCATAAACTCAAGCACTTTAAGAAACATTGATACCAAAAAAGAATTTTTTCTTTTGTCCTTATCTATTTGACACAGTAATCAAGTGGGAGATGGTTTTATAAAAATAATCTAATAAATGAAATATAATTAAAGTTGGTGTCTGTAACTGTTTTCACATTTTCTGCAACTGTAGGTTCTAAAGCTCGAGTTGCAACCTTTTTTGCAACCTCTGCAAGCCCTGAAACTGTCTGCAACCTCTGCAACTACCTGAAACTGTCTGCAACTATAATTATGATGACTTAGTATCAAAAATGGAGTCACATAACTGCAAAAATGAGATTTATTTGTTTTTAAATAAAATCATTATTACTACTATTGTTGACTATTTTTAAATAAAAAAAACATTCTTATTATCTTTTATTATTACTATTGCCATTATTTTTACCATTAACTAACTATTTTTTAAATAAAAACATTATCAACATTAATTGATAAAACTGATTATTCATTTTTACACTCCCCTACAAAAAATATCCGACCACTTGTGCTGTGTAACGTCAAATGAAAAAAGTACTTGCTAAATAAAGT